AGGGTGGATCAAATCAAACAACACAAAAATGCTGTTGTTTATTTTTCTACACAGTTTTCCCACCGATTGCGAAGTTTACAAATTCCTTGTTTGTAGAAACTTGGAGGTTGAGTGACCAACCAATTGCGCACGAAATTCTCCATATGTCGATCGTTGTCAAATCGCAATCCTCCAAGTGCATCTTTCATGCGCGCAAAACAAATGATAAGTCACATAGTGACAAATCTGGGATGTATGGAGGATGCTCAAGAGTTTCCCATTGCATATCCTCCAGTTTTTGCTTCGTTTCAGTATGTGTTTAGTATGTAGCCTGGCATTGTCATGAAGGAGGATGACATTTCTGATGGGGACATCGCGTCTTTTGCGCCTGTATGCCTCCAACAGCTGACAGTAGGGTTGTAGCATTAACCGTACCTCGGCCGTGTAGAAAATCAATGAGCAACACTCCCTTGCAGTCGAAAAAGGCGGTCGCGAGGACCTTACCGGCTGAGACAGAGGTTTAGGATTTCACGCGGCCGGTTTCGTCTTTCCTTCGCCATTCTTTACTCGCCAACTTGGACTCGGGAGTGTAATGGTGCACCCATGTTTCATCACACGTTACGATATGATTCAAAAAAGTCTCCCGCCGAAATCGATTCAGATATCTCCTACTGATTTGCAGACGGATGTTTTTTTATCTTCTTTCAACAACCCTGGCACCCATCGAGCACAGATTTTGTCGAAACCAAGATGTTTTTTGATGATTGTTTGAGCACTTCCAGATATAATGCCCATTTCTAAAGCGACCTCATGAACAGAGAGCCGCCTGTCACTTTCAATAAGGTCACGAACAGCACCAATGTTGTCACTGGAGACACTTAATCTTGGACGTCGATTAAGACACATTTTCTTCACGTTCTCGTCCATTCTTAAACTTTTTCGAATACCTGAGTTTTAGACGGGGTATCATCCCCACACTGATCCTTCAGTCGAGCCGAAATCTCGCACGGTTTAACGCCTTCCTTCTTAAAAAAGATTATTATAACTCGTTGCGCAACGGACGATGGAACCGGTTGCTCACTCATGGCTGTACTGACGCATTGACTGAGTGGAACAGCTCACCACGCATTAACCGCACTCCTAATACACTATACTGCAAGGACTTACACTGTTTATATTTGATCCACCCTCGTATATTATTTTCTCCGATTTCGTAAATACAATGTGAGTCTTCATAAAGTGCACATAGCAAAATCAAGGAAACTACACCTTATTTTATTGACGGAAAAATTATCAAAAAAAAAAATTAAAAACATTAATTGATTTTTTATGAATATTTTAAAATTTTTAGAGTCAGCTGCTAACCCTATTTAAATAAATCGTTACAACTTTTAAACTGAATGTCCTATCATATTGGAATAAATTTTGTAGTGATTGCAAATAATAGGCCGTACCAGTAAAGTTAAAATTTCCACGAAATTAAATGCTATAAATTTAAAATAAAGAGGAATATGCTGAAACTCACTATTTTTTCAATGATTTTTAAAACAATTGCTAAATTTCAATAAAAATTGTCCTATTTACCCTACCTTTTTTAAATGTTAAGTTATTCTACATGTTATTAACTTCCTAATGCTGAAAAATTGCAAGTTTATTACTTAGATACAAGTTTTTAAATCAGCGTTTCAAAAAGCAGTGAACTCAGTTCAACGCCAGAGTAGGAATAAAACAACAGTATTAACCTACATGAATCATTCATTATCTTTAACAAATAAAATCAAATAGACTTGTCTATAGGATAATAATTTTGGGCTTAATGCATCAAATGTTCAAAATGGCCACCCCGTTGCTGCAAACACATTGTAGCGCGAAGTGAAATTTGATGAGTTGCCCTACGAATCATCTCGGGATCATTTTTGATTTCGTTTGCAACACGCAAAACTCTTTCTTCAAGTTCCGCTTCGCTGTTTATGGAACTGCTGTACACCCTTTGTTTCATTGTCCCCCATAAAAAATAGTCGAGAGGTGCAAGATCTGGGGAACGCGCCGGCCACCCAACAGGTCCTTGTCGACCGATCCAGCGGCCTGGATAATTTTCATTAAAAAAAGACCTGACAATCAGCGAGTAATGGGCAGGACATCCATCCATTTGAAGCATCATTCTTCGACGGGTTTGCAGCGGCACTTCTTCCAACAGCAAGGGCAGTTCAGTCCGCAAAAGCTCCAGAAATCCCTCTCCGTTTAATGTCCTATTGGAGTATTATTGGACCAATCAAAAAGTTGTCAATCAGTGCGGCCCACACATTTACAGAAAATTTCACTTGAAATGTTGAAGCCCTTTTTAGCCTAGGGTTTTCATCTTTTGGGCACCACTTATGTAAATTACGACAGTTCACGATGCCCCCATCTGTCCACAGAATTGTTTTCGGGAATTCAGGATTGTCGCTTGTTTTTATTAAAATCCATGTAGACATAACGCACTCTGGACGCCAATCCACATCTTCATGCAAGTGCTGCACCCTTTGATAATGGTATGGATGCAACCCTGCTTTCCTCAAGATGCGCCAAACCGATTTCTGGGATACTACGCCATGACGTAACGCCAAACGTATCGTACTAGTAGTCGGGTCAGCAAACAAATCATCCAAAATGGCTTCTTCGATAGCAACATGAATAATAACACCTGGTTCGCGGCGATCTCGAGGCAAACCAAGTCCAGTGTTAGCCAGTCTTCTATGTACTTCTTGGAAGTTACGGGCTGATGGAACAGGGCGTCGATTTGGAAATGCAGCTAGATAAGCTGTGCAAGCAGCTCTAGCACTCCCTCGGTACATTCCATAATAATAATGGATATCGGCAATGTGTGCCGGAGGGAAATCACTTATACGTGGCATCGCGACCAAAAAGCGAAAGCGTGATATGTAGCAAACAAAACTGATAAAGTTGGCAGGAGAAACACAAATAGCTGCCTAACTGCCCAACATTCAATTGTTTTTCAACTGGGCCCGCCTCCCCACTCGTACTTCAGCCCACGCGACTCTACATTGAGTCACCAAAAAAGGGTATCTACATGATAAACAATGGTGCCTAGCAAGACGATGCGCATGGGCTTTTTTATAAACACTCATAGAAACTGTTACATTTGAGTAATAAACGTGCAATTTTTACTTTTATAAAGCTGTTAACATGTAGAATAACTTACAAATAAAAAAAGGTAGGGTACAAGGGACGATATTTATAGAAAATTTGAAATTATTGTAAAAATGATGAAAAAAAACAGATTTTCATCAAAATTTTCTTTATTCTAAACGGATGTCATTACTTTTCCTGGAATTCTTTACTTTTCAGGCACGTCCTTTCACTAGCAATCACTACAAAATGTATTCCAATATGATAGGACATTTAGTTTAAAAGTTGTAACGAGTTATTTCAATATGGTTAGAAGCTGCTACTAAAAATTTTAAAATATTCATATATCAAAATCAAATTCATGCTTTTTTGATGATTTATCCATCGATGAAATAGAGTGTAGTTTCCCTGATTTTGATATGTGCACTTTATGAAGACTCACACTGTATAACCTCAAAACATTGTAAGGAGTCGTTTTAGGAACCCTGTTCAGATAAACTGATATTTTTTAATGCCATACATGCCTCAATCAGGTTTTTATAAATAGAAATGCATCGCCGTCAATAAATTTTTATATTTTTTGTATCAGATAAGGGCACTTATAGTTGTGATATTTGTGTATTAATCATAATTACGTTGGTAGTGTTGGTAATATTTTATCATTTTTACCATTTGTGGCATAACTGTGAGCTTTTACTTCACTGTTAACTGTAAATTTTGCTGTGGAGTTTACGTTTTATAAATTAGGGTTTGTATTTTTTAGAACTTAGAGATAGGATAAATTATTTGGCTGACTTGTTGAATATTTTATTTTGTATTTTATATTTTGCTTGACAGCTTGACTGAAAGAAAAGCGTATTTCACAAATAAAATCTAGCTAGTTCAAATAACCAACAGATGTGGTATTTAGCTACCCTGGAGAGTTTTGCTGCTCGAAGTGAATCACTCCAAGGAACACAAAAACACGATGAACGTTAGCGCTTGAAGTGTCACAATGACATACACAGGTTCAAATCCGGGTTGACGTCAAATTGCTTTAGGTGAGAACTGTCACCAAGATGTTAGAAAAATTAGCCTATTACTTACCTGATAGTATAACTAGTATTACCAATTATATTACCTCGTTATCCAGCTTCATAGTATTGTAATATTTAAACATATAGTTTTTTTATTATGATGTCTTATTCACCCATTTATTTTTGCTGCTGATGGTAGTATGAATAGCTGAGATTTTCGCAAATACTCCACGACCGCCCATGCCGGTTCTCAGTGGCAGAACAGGTAGTATTCGTATACTATCTACGCTAAAAAATTATTTTCTGTGCATTGCTGTTAGTACTGGATGTAGAATTTTAAGTCGATACCTTTATCCACTCTAGGTGATATAATTTTTCTCTTGATTTTGAAATCATCACTGCAACACCCTGTATCTCAGTAAGGAAGCATCTTATTTAAACTTTTGTTTACATATTTTTGAACGTACTTTCTTACCTAGACATATTTCCATTGTATTTTGTAACCTTGTATACATGAGGATTCTAATAAAACAATTTATTTGAAAACATGTTTTACTTATTTCCTTTGCAAACGACCTACAGTTAGGATGCCACTGATATTGAACCTGTTATCTCTTTTTGTTGGTTGGTTTACAGTGGAAATACCTCATCATAGGAGAGATATACTGATACTGACTGGTACGTTCCACTTTGAGTAACTTTAAGTGGTTTATTGATATCATCGATAAAAGAAAAGCATTACAGTGGCATTGCATGGTAGTTTATACTGCATTCCATCTACATATTTTCATGTATCTTTGCAGTTTTCGTTCTGCCGATTATATAAGCATTCACAACAGTTGCCGAGCATCCAAACTGTAGAAATAAAGGATGTGATTTCAATTTTGCCATTCTTTTGATTTTTATTAAAACAGTGTAATACAGAAATATTTTATTAAGTTAGAGTAGAACAATACAATTGCAGATTGGAATACAGTTTGAAAAAACAATACTTTAAAAGGTATCTGGGTCTGATCGGCATCCGCGATCTGGAAAAAAGTATTTGATTAGGCACTCAACAATTACATTACTGCATGTTACACAAAAAATAACTCACTAGACTGGCATTTTAAGTAACAATTATCAACAAGTGACATTATTACAGCTTTGAGAAGCGAGGTTCTGTGGTCCATTTGTCGTCAAATATGAAGTTTTCGAGTTGCATAGTTGAACATGAATTAACATTAAGTCCTATAAAGCTTGGCCCTTTCCAGCACGACCACAGCGATATTTATCATTATTTAAAGAGAAGTCCTTTTTTTTATTAAAAATAATTTGTACATGGTGTGCGCCATGTAAAATCATGTTGTGGATTGAATCCTCTTTCAATTTTACTCTAAATTTTTGTTTCTATACGTATGGAATACATGTTTTATAGAACATGATGTAATTTCTTGTCATTAAATGAAAATCGTTATTTCGTGTGCTGTAGAAGTGATAATTTTACGATATTAGTTCATTTATTCATGGTGATAATATATTGTTTTTCACTTTACAAATAAGGTATTTAGTTATTTTCTTACATTAAGTCATTTCAATTGATTTAGCATTTGTTTAATTGGTACATATGAAATAAGTAAACACATCGAGTCTCCGTACCATGGGTGGATCTTAATTTTCCTAACTGAGGGAAACCGATTCAAAATTATTTACTAATCGTATTTCTCAAAGATCTTCCAACCTAGTAGATAAACATGTGTAGAGTATGACACGCCATTTGATGTTTTTTTTAAGTTGAAATAAAAAAATACATACGGAATTTACAATATAATACAAAATAGCACATCTATTTGCTAACTTGATGGAACATTTAACATTGGATGTGGATATGTGATGAGCTTATGAGAGCTGTAGAAGAACCATCTTCAATAATAAAAATGCTCAATTCTTCCTGGAGTGAAATAAATTACTGCTGAACAAAAATACATTTTGATGATGATGCTCTTAAACTCGAGCTTTCAAATCTATGTCGTCTTAATAAACATCAAGCTTATAACTTCCATATCTATAAAAATATTTAAAAATCTACATTAATGTGCACACAGAAAATTAAGAATTATAAATTTTCAACATTGATTCAATAAAAGTATGAATTATTGCATTTCTTCATCAGAGTAATCTTCCTTCCTATTAAACACTTAATGCTTGTCCCAGTCGTTGCATCTAAGAAAACGCACTTGAGAGGGGCTTGTACTAATCAGGTTATTCATATAATGTCATAAAATATACTAAGTGACATATAAATCCGAACACCCAGTTTAAATGGTTTTATTTTAATAAAAGTTGGTGAATGTATTTATCTTACTGTAAATAACAAGTGAAAAAATGTTCAGCCTTATCAGTTGGACATTCCGGTTTTTATACTGCTTTTTTTAATTCACTAACGCTCTAAAAATGAATATTCCAGCCGCAGTAAAGAATCAACGTTGGCGGATTTTGGTTCTTGACATCCTTTACGATCGGTTACGATGCCTAGAGTACGGAGACCTGTACGATTTCGTCAACTTAGTGAGTTTGATAGGAGCCGTATAGTGGGACTTCGGGAAGCTGGACTTTCTTTTAGGGCAATTGCAGTTACAGTGCAAAGAAGTGTAGACACTGTGGTTAGGTGTTGTCAGGCATGGCTTCGAGAAAGCCGTACGCAAAGAGCAAGGGGCACTGGACGCCGCCGTAGAACAACAGACCGTGAAGATCGCCGCCTAAGATTATTGGCCTTAAGGGGCCGTTCTCTCCTCTACCAGGTCCATTGCAAATGAATGGTTTGCAGATCACGGAAGATCCATTGGCATGCGTGTTTACCGACGAATGAGAAGTTTTGGCTTATTTTCATACCGGCCACACTGGGTCCTCCCTTTAACTCGAGAACACCGACGTAATCGCCTTGAGTGGTGCAGACAAAGGTCACTCTGGGATCAGGAATGGAACAGTATTGTCTTTAGTGACGAGTCTCGATTTTGTTTAGGCATGCACGATGGTCGTGCCAGGGTTAGAAGGCGACGTGGTGAAAGGAGGAATCCACAGTTTTTTGTTGAAAGACATGTTCATCACACTGTTGGAGTTATGGTTTGGGGTGCTATAGCTTATGGTTCCAGGTCACCTTTAATCTTCATCAGAGGTAACATGAACGCGCAGCGTTATATACACGAAGACCACATGTTGCAAGAGTCACAATAGACTTCTTTCAACATAATGATGTCACATTGTTACCATGGCCACCAAGATCTCCCGACTTATCCCCAATTGAGCACGTGTGGGATATGATGGGTAGGAGATTGCAAGTTGCACTGGTTACCGATCAGTGATATGCTAAACAGTACAAAGCTACATTATTATTACCTGCTCCTGATATGATTTTATGAAACTTACTGAAATTTGGACTCGAGTCAGCAACAATAGAAAATAATATTTTTTTTTATCATGGTTCCTTAATATCTTTTAACTACATTGCATTTGTATATGATAAAAATACTATCTAGAAGTATTTTATAGAAAATAATGAACACGGTATAACCTTATTTGTACAACTAAAGCCCACAGATGAAAAGGTTCGTTTTTTATAATTTAAGAAAAAATGCAATATCTCAAAAACGGTGACACTTCTATATGGGTAAGTTTTTGTTATTTGGGAGGTCAGTGCAAAGCCTACCTTCTAATTAAGTTTGTCGTGGAAATTATTGGATATAAAGCTAATAAGACCGTGGACGCCTATAGTAACTTCAAATCGCTTAGAAACCGTGCTCTTAACTCATGTTATCATTTAGGAGGGATAAAAAAATATAGGTGTATATTGAAAAGTCTCTCAAACAACTTGATATACATTTCCGTAGTAAACCAACCCTTCCAGCAAGTTTTAATAACCCTACCTTTTAGTAATGATTATTTTATGTCTATTTATAGCTAAAAATAAATTAAACTCTGAATATATTTTTTCATTAAATAAGATTAGTTTAAATGACGTATTACAGGCAATCAGGAGCCTACAATCTCCCTGCTCTGTATTGGAGCCGCTGCTGTTCCTCATATATACGTTCGACTTAAGCAAAACTATTGATAATTCTCATGTCCAGTCATTTGCAGACGACTCGCAGTTGTTCAATTATTTCAACCCAGATAATGTCAATAATACTCCCCTAATTTTATAAAGCGATGTCAGTAAATTAATTGAATACTCAGATCATAATCTACTTATTAATCCACAAAACTCTTAAATGTTATTATTTTACGCACAAAGAAAAACATACAATGATTTTGCAAAAATGTTTGGTGTTGTTTTTGATACAAAATTAAGGTTTATTGAACATGTTGAAAGTCTATCCCAGAAAACCTACCTAAGACTTCGTACTCTTATAGCAAACAGGTATTTACTAAATTTTAAGTTGCGTAAAAAACTATGTGAAGCATTGGTCATATCTAAACTAAATTATTGTAATATCGTATACTACAATTATTTAGACAATTGTATACGTTTTATCTTTGGCTTACGTAAATTTTATCATGTATCAGCGAAATATCCTGTTCTAAACTGGTTAAAAATTAATGACTTGGTCAAGTATCACTATTTATTTTTTGTTCACAAGTTGCTGCTCACGTCTAACCCCTCTTACTTGAGGGAAAAAAATCATACAATAATGGAGCCCCTTCCCACGTCAGTTGGCCTATTGAAATCTTAGTTTTTTCTTATCACACACAAATAATAAAAATGTAGCAGGTTTAAAATATTAACAATGAATATTTTGATAATATATAGTAGAAAACACCAACTTTATCACTCCCTAATCAAATTTGCAGCATAAAAATAACACATGTTGCAATTACAGCATATCAACCTATTTTTATTTCAATGCAAAATAAGTCTATAACGCATAGGTGGCTGTGAAAAATAAAAGCCATGACAATTGTTTTTATTAATCACAGCTGTCAGAATACGTTTAAAATAGTTTTGGGTAGTTAAGGTTTTCAAAATGGGTAGAGGAAAGGTTATTAGTGAGAAAATTCGGTTACTGATAATTAAATTTTTTAATTCTGGGAAATCAAACTCAAAAATTGCAACTTTGTTAGACTTATCGCGGTACAGTGTGAGAAATATTGTTAGAAGATATAACATAACTGGTTCAGTTAATATTAAGCCACGATATGTGAAAAAAAAATAATCTCACAAATGCCGACCGAAGAGCATTAAGAAGAATAATCGTGAAAAACAGGCGTGCCAATTATTTACAATTAAGTGCTCTGTGGAGTGACGCTGTTGGAAGGACAATTTCGAGGTCCACAACTCATAAAGAGGCTCACAAACTGGGATTTAGCACTTGCAAGGTAAGTTTTCTTATAAACAAAAATGAAGTAAAAACCCTAAAGTTGCACAACTTGTTTATAGGCCAAACAAAAGCCACTATTAACTCCGCTGCAAAAGAAAAATCGGCTTAGATGGGCTAAAGAACATAGACAATGGACACCTCAACAGTGGTGTGCAATACAATGTAGTGATGAGGCCCGATTCGAAGTTTGTGTTGGTGACAGTCGCGGTAGAGTTATTCGCAAAAAAATGAAGCATTCAATGTTGACTGTCTGAAGAGAAAAGTGAAATTTTCAGCATCCATTATGGTCTGGGGCAGTATGTCATCAAAAGGAGTAGGAAAACTTCATTTTATTGATGGAAATGTGGGTACAAATACATATTTGGCAATTTTAGAAGAATCTCTTTTACCAGTGATGGAAGAATGTTTGACATCCGGCCAAGATTTTGTGTTTCAGCAAGATGGTGCAGCGTGTCATACCTCAAAAAAGGCTATAAAATGGATGGAAGAAAATAATGTACCACTTTTAAAATGGGTTTCTAACAGTCCAGATCTGTCACCTATTGAAAATTTGTGGCACGAGATGAAAAAGGTTCTACGACAACATCCTGCTCGTACTATCACCAAACTGGGACAAAAGCTTCAAGAAATATGGGATTGTTTACCACCAAATTTTTGCCAAAACTTGGTTAACACTATGCCCCAAAGAATTTCAGCCGTAATAGAAAATAAAGGTGATGTTACCCAATGGTAATCTTTCAGTTGTTGCTTTGTTAACTTCGCGCATTTATTCGCACATTGTTTATTTGTTCAAATGTTCTATTAGTTATAGGTCTAAGTGATTTCAAATATGTATTTTTTACGACTAGGGTGTATCTAAAATGTTTTTAAGAAAACAAATTGTTTTAGAAGTAAATAGTTTCATCATGTTTAGTTTATAAATATAAATTTATGGTACAAATCTTGAAGTGGGCCAACTGAAGTGGGAAGAGGCTCATAGAATATCCCAGCATGCGTCTTCACTTTTTAAACGCAGTTTTTCCTACAATGTTGCTATTGTTTATAATGACCTTCCTAAAGTATATAAAGAATTTTCATTAGCTGCCTTTCGACAAAAAGTTAAAACAATATTACTCAACCCTCCAAACATATAATTTACGGAATCATGCTTTTTTATCCCTTCTTTAATTCAGGTTAATAACTTTTGGTTGTACTTGGGTTTGGAAAGTATGCCTTTTTCTTTTTTATTTTTTACTTCCGATGTAATGAACCCAATTTGTTTGTGAATAGTGTATACTTTTGAACATCTGCATGCTAAACTTCGCCATGTAAGTCTGACATTTGGCTATACTACAATGTAATTGTGGATAAATAAAGACGTCTGTTATTATTATTAACACTGCGCAACCTAATCTTCAGCGCATCGGCTACTCTCTCCAGTACGCATGAAGTGGGTAACACGGGTCCGCTGTTTTCATCCTCTTCCTGGAAATACTAATAAATTTAGCACGAGCTGTCGGCCTTCTCCATTGTTCGTATTTCCGGACATTGTACAATTTTATATTGAAGATTGATAACATTAAAACTCAAATTGCACGCCGATGTGAAGTAAGTTGTCACTCTGACAAAAATGATTGAAGGGCACTCATACGGGATACTGGTGACTACAACTATATCTATTTTTATTTAGTATTATTGAGGCCATTTTGATTACTTTGAGATATCTATCTGTCCGACCATATAAGTTTATTTATAGGCAAAGACGGATAGTATTTACTCATAGTGTGCATTGTTCGACTTCAACCAACGAAAAGGGCCACATGAACCCTCTTGATTCTTGAAATCGCTGCTTTACACATGCACATACCTTTACTTGGCGTCGTTGATCCAGACTTTACTTTTGTAGGCAACCTCGTAGGAACCTGATCTAACCCCTGAAAATTGGTAACTAAGTAAAATATGCATTCTAAAATAACTATGACTTACCTCTGCAATTGTTGGGAAATCTAAGTTAATATCTATATCACAAGTGTTCTGAAAGGAAAAAATGAATTAATGAACAACTTTACTTCAAGTGTTCCACCACATACACCGCTTACAGGAATCCATTCAGCGCAATGCAGTTTTAAATACGACCACCCTGTCTATATCTTTGAATGGACTGCAGGCAGATTAATATATTTTATTGTTTGATGAATAGTAGACCGAAGGCTCACGCACCCTCCGAATAACGGTTGTGTTTAAAAACAAAAAAAATCAGAGATCATTCACAGCAGGTAGGGTAACGGCAACCTGTCATTATTTTTCATATTCTAAACATTATAAAAAATAAATATAAAAAATTGATGTGAAGGTCAAGGTGTGATTTTTTGGACTATTCTAATACTATTTTGTTTTGGGCAGTTTTCGAAATACGGGTTTAGTACCGGCTCGGGGCGGAGAAGCCCTAATGCAATATTGCTAATTTTTTACATCCTGTAGAATAATGGATTATAATATTCGATTTCACTCAGATTTAAATTTGAAGGAGGCTTCCACCAATAAGAGAGCAGCTTATCGAAATGCAATTTGGCGGAAGCTGTCAAAGCTCTCCTTATATCAGTAATTTCTATTGGAATATTGAATAAAAACGTAAAAAGTGGTTGTTTTATAAATAAGGGTACATTCTGGACGTAATACCATGTCTTTGAGCTTTAAAATTACGATAACTTTCTTAGAATTGCCAATTTCTATCATTTCATAAAATACGGGAACTTATTTGATTGGACCAATGACAATACAAGAAATATAATAGGTCAATTTTGTTAGATTTTATTTTTAATAGAATTATTTCACTGTTTTTGACGGCTGTTCATGCATGGAAATCTAGTTTCGTCTCTATATCACATACAGGGTGTTGTACATAATACGTACCTGTAGAAATGTACCGATTTTTTTTATTTTGCAAAAAAAAGGATATAAAACGTATTCCAACTGGTTCATCATATTTTGTTACATCAAAAACTATTTATTACCAACTTATGATCTAGAAATCCACACCAAATATAACCAAACTGCACATCCTGCATTCCTGGTTCCTAAAAATCGATATTTGTAAATGTATCCGCATTCACCTATTATTTATCGATTGAGAATCAAAAATACTTATTTACCGAAATATTTGCAAAACTTGCTGTTATATTTCATGTTTATTTGATCTAGAACACGTCTGGAATCTTAATTGTGTTTGAAGTGTTCGTGTTGCCGAACCGAAAAAAAAAAACGGAATCGGTGAATAGCGTCATTGAATTCGGTAGTGGGAAAATGCCGTTCCAAGATCAGTGGTGGATCAAGGACCTTTGAGTCACGCAGCGCCGTGTATGAAAAAGTTTATTATTGTATTGTGCATGCACACAACATGTATTTGAGTACATAGTTCTGTATTAAAACTGGCACAATGTCCATACTGGTCGACCTTTCAAAGTCCTTTGCAACCATCCTGGCCTATTTCGATTTTTGCTTATAGGATTGTGAATATCTTTCTGTTTCACCCATGAACTCATTAAATCACCTCACATTTTAATTAAATATTTATTTTGAAAACAGACAGGTTTCTGTTTCTTTATTGCTTGTCCGGTGATACGGTAAAGACGGTAATCTACCAGTCTGTACCTTTTGTACGCACAAAAATAAATTCAGGGCAAGCGGTGTAAGGGATGAGGATGTGCGTTCGTAATCATAGGCAACTCACATCTACGCCCCTTGTGTGCCCCACTGCCTGAGTTTGTATGCATATCGATGGTTTAATTCTAATACTCCGTATCTGCAAAAAAATCCATTTTATTTTTTCGCGCCATAATATTACTTTTCGCGCCATTCAATTGTACGTTTACTCTATCAAGTTAATAACAGTTTTGTTTAGTGTTAAATGTTACCTATTATAATATCCCGTACCATTACATTTTTAAGTTATTTTTGTTCTAATAAATCATATCATACTTAATTCAATAAAAACAAATTTAGGAAATAAAAGACATTTTATCATTTAGTTATGAAAATGTAATATAAAAAAAATTGTCTAACCTTACAAAATAAAAACCCTCTTCTATTAAAATAACGGTCCATACAGTTACGGGGTATTAGAATTAGACCATCGATATGCATGATTGATATGTGGCATAAAACTACAAAGACTACATACAATTCACTTTTAACTTTATTTTTGGTTCCAGCTCTTCTTCAGCTAGTATGGAAATATTTGAATTATTTCGGAAAATCGTGAAAATGACGTTTTCGGTGAATATTGTCATTTTGGTAAAAATACCGAAAAATCCGATTCAAATCCATGCATAGACAATCTGAAACTTACAATATGAGGTTGTATTCTACAGTATATGCATATTCATTCATATTCGTCAATACTTCATTTGAAGCTTCTATTTTTCATAAGATTTTAGCAAAATGTAAAATAGTAAAGGCAGCGCAAATATGTGGGCTATCAACACCGCACACCGCAGCCCAGTTGACAAGAACAAGCTGTCAAGATGTACAGCCCGGAGTACCGACGGAGCCATTTGGGGCATCATGGCGTTAATTTTAAAATTTTCATTGTCATTTTTTCAAGAGTTGTGCAATGATTTTGGCAAAAATTCCACTACGTATAGTTTTATAAAGCATAGTAGAGTATATTTCAACAGTTGGCCGAGTTTGCTCCACTGGGACCAAGCTGGTTTATCGAACTTAAAAAAACAGATTATTCAATTAACCGGTTATTTTTGCCTATCCCTAATGTATTTTTCAGGAGTTTCCATTACGTTTTGACTGTTGACATCAGCTGATCTCAAAAGCGACATCTTTGTATTAGTCTGTAAGGCTGGCGATAATAAATTTCAGGACTGTATTCAAAACTGTTTTTCACATATCAGGATTATACTTTTAAGTGATTGATAGTTTCCACAATAAAATGTACCCAGTGCAGATAAGAAATGTTTATTATAAAATTATTATGGTACATATGGTATTTATTACAAAGTAAGTCGATATACTGCATTGTATTTTTAAATATTATGGACACGTGTTTTTGGTTTATTTTCCCTCATCAGTGTAACGTAATTCAAATACAGGTTAAGTATCTGCAGAACCTATCATAAAAATTGATAATGAAACCAGCTTGTTTAAAACACCACAGATGTAAAAGGAATTTATCTTGTACATTACATCAATCTGCCAATTGAATAGTGACATACTCGACATTCACGGACACTGCATTGTCCTAGATGAAGGTATTTTATGACTTTCTGTACATTTTACTTACATTTTTCTAATTTCTAACTATTTAGAATTACCTGAGTAATATGCAGACCTATTTTTTCTGAATTCATTGTATAGCTGTTGCGTTGCCTTTTAAAATCAAATAGTGTTTCAAGTTCTAAAAAGTAGAGATGATTAACATAGTCAAAAATGTTTATCTTATTTTATTCCTAACTGACTTGAAACGTAGTCATTTTGCTTGTAGCGCTCTTTTTATACGCGAAGGAAATTTTCTAAATCAAGTACAAAATGAATCTGTATCGTATAAAAAATCACAACAAAATACGGATCTGTCGATCTAGCATTGACGGATTCTACAGAATTATGTGTAACTTGTCGATATGGTGAGTTTTGAAAAATCAGGAGACAATCAGCTGTTATTCTACCGTAATGGATACTAGTAAAAAATGCCGCAGTTTAATGTTTGAACTCAAATAATATCTAATATAACCTAGAATGTGTACTCCGTATTATTGCAAATTATAGTTTTTTACAGGTTTTAGGTTTGCTGGTAGCTTTATATACTGAGCGACAAAAAAAGGTAAACACCTACGTGTGTTTATCCGATTTTAATAATTTTTGGCATATATGTTCAGTGTCCCGTATTAGTAAAATGATTGAATTTTCAGCTTGATTCGTCAACTGGCTGCAGAAGCTGGTTCAATAATATGTTTAGGATCCACGATTTCTTATACACTCATTGACACGCCCGGGCATCGTGCTGATAAGGAGGTCGATATCCTGTTGGGGTATCTCATTCCAGGCTACTGCAACTTCGTCAGCAAGAGCTGCTTAGGTCTGTGGAGGGTGTTGCAAATTCAAGAGCCTGCCACCTATCATGTCCCAGACATGTACAAAAATCGGGTTTTGGATGGTGTTTAGGTATGGAATAAGATGAGGCTCCACTACTTCCTGAATATAGCGTCGGGCTGTCATATTGCCTCTGATGAAAATTAGTGGTGATCTGCTACCATAAGCAATAGCACACCATACCATAACTCCCACGGTGACGCTCGCTGTCAAATTGTGGGTCACGTCTTTCACCACGTCGCCTTGTCACTCTTGCCCGACCATCGTGCATCCCCAGACAGAAGCGGGATTCGTCACTAAAGACCACCTGGTTCCAATCCCGATCCCTTAGAATTATTTCTCTACACCAGAGCAAATGGTTACGCCGATGTTCAGCTGTGAGAGGTAGCACCCAATGTGGGCGATAAGAAAAAAGCCCAAACTGTCGTATTCGGCGATATACCGTAAGCAAACCAACCATCTTCAAACCACTGATTAGCGATGCCTCGCTACTGAATCTGTCTCTCAGAGCCAGAAGTCTTAACCGGCGAACTTGTCGCTCTGTGGTCCCCCTGGAACGTCCAGAACCCCTCCCTCGCTGTCCTCGGCCTTCCTGTGTCCACGCTCGTTCACACTGCAGTGTACTGCGTAAGGATCTGTTGGTCCTCCTAGAAACTTCTCTTATCGATAGACCGGCTTCTCGCAAGCCGACAATTCGACCCCTCTCAAAGTCACTTAGCTGGGACACCCGGCGAATTCTACACACCCTTGGTATTTTGAGCAATCACAAAAAGCCTTCTCAATAAGCTACACGAAATTTAACATTTAACTGACACCGTAAATGTACGAAAACTGAATGCTTCTTCATCACCAAACAATACACGCAGCCACCTCAAAAACTTAACAGAAAAACCTGACCATTTTATCACTTGTTGTTTATGGCAAGATAAATCGATATGTAAAAAATTCTTGAATTCTAATTAACATACGTTGGTGTTTACCTTTTTTTTTGTCACTCAGTATATATTTGGGTATTTCTCAATCGCTGTAAATATAGTGTAGATGTTGTTTACTGCCTGAACAACGAAAAATATTCATCTTTATGGGTGTATGGATATCAAAAATCCTGAATGGTTTTGTGCGAATATCAATCTAAGGTGCCATAATAATACTGATGAACGGCAAGTAAATGAATGAATGTTTAGAGTCTTTGTCATCAAGTAGGTGTTTAATGGCTATCTGTAAGAGTGTTATAGGAAAAAACACACGGTAGGTGATGTTAAATCAGTAAAATAGCATATCAATTGACGAAAATAATATAAACATGAATAAACAACAAAAGTAAAAAAACATCAATTCTATTCAATAATCTTTTTTTTTTATTTTGACTGAATTGTATTAATATTCAATAAGCTGGTGATGTTTCAATGACAAGCTGCAATATCTCATACTTTGACTATTTTGTTTTCAATATTTCACAGCTATTAGTTGCTAAAATTTGTTGAATGGATCTTAAAGCTCATTGAACAGACTTTTACCTGTATAGGTGGAAAATAATGGTTTGTTGATTTGACAACCTTTGTGAATTCCACCCTAGAAATAATATTTTCGAAAAGCATTTTGTATATACAAATATGTATCCTTGTCTGATTGCGATTAAATATAGCGGTTTTGACAAAAAGAGCATACAATTTACAGATGTAAATTCATTATAGCACTCAAATAAGGCATACGTTATTCTAAAAATATTACACTATTATCGAAACTTTTCGAACCATGGTTAACAAGTTTTTTATTATATTACGCAATTTTAATTTTTTACAAAAAAGGTTTTCGGATAAGAACGGGTCGATGGAATAAAACAAACTGTATATGAGATACTAACGAAATTATTTTTTTATTGAAGACGCCTTGAATGCCACTTATAATAGTGAGATGGATCCAAAAGGTTGAACTTTCGATAACTCGGCTGAATTTTTGCCAGGGGCTGGGTTTTGTTTACTTTGTAGCCTTTTATAATTGTTGTCGTTATTAGTAAAAATAAATACTAACATAAGAAACTGAATAATTACCTGTATAGTAGAAGGATCTAATTTCCTTTCAATAATACCCCCTACTGCACCTTCCTCTTCTTCTTCCATATCAATTTCTTCATTTAATGCTCTCGTTTGGTCAGCTTCACACAAATCACCGTTTTGCATGTTTTCTGTCATCTGGAATAATAGTTATTTGCCTAACAAGTGCGGAAAATACACTTTCCGCAAGTGTTAGGTATGATATTTTTTTCTAAAAACGTGCGAAAAGCACTCACTTTCAACACGCATCTGCGTGCAGAAAGAAGCACTTGAGCGGAAAAGTTATGCGTGCGGAAAAGTACTACTTTCTGCATGCAGGTGCATGCTGAAAGTGAGTACTTTCCGCACGCTGGTAGAAAAAAATTGATATAAGCAAGAAGTATTGAAAAAATAAGGCAAATCGTGCATAACAGGAACTACATAATTCTGAAACTCCAAAACGAAATGGAGACATAAACGCGTAGCAATATGGTAAAAAGGTCTACCCATAAAACTTTCAATTTATTGCTCATCCAGATTATTTTAGCTGGTTAAATAGTCTAAGCAATATAGCAAAATGTCAAAAGGAATTCTCAAGAAGAATGTAGGTTGCGCAAGAAAAACCAATGTCCCGCATCTATTTTTTATTATTAGTGATATTTTATTGCTAATTCTAATGAAACTCGGCTCCCTTTTTCAACCGTAGAATACCTATCAAATTAAATTTGAAACGTTTAAATCGGACAAAATGGCTTCACGTTATTACTTAAAACAGATGATTTAATCTCGTGAAAAATACGTACTTGACACGTTAACGCAGCGCAATAAATTTCATTTGATATTTTCAATTTTCCTTTTGTTGATTTTTTTTATTATGTCATATATTAATGTGTTATACAGGGAGTCCCAAAAGTCACGGATCACGGTATCCTCTGAAACGCTAAAAAATGAAGTTTTAGTGATTTTTATTTATTTCATTTTTGACATTCTTCTCTGTCGCCACTGGACCGATACTAAAAAAACTACAAAGCTTTTCCATTAGTAACCTTGTGGGAAAATTTCATCCAAAATCCGGATAGTACTTTCTAAGTTATAGACATGCCAATGATTTGCGGACAAACCGACAAACAGACAGGCGTGTCATATAACATCCAAATGACATAGTATCTCATTTTCGCGATTACAATACTCTCACCCAGTAGCGTAAGAACTAACATGTTATCGAGGCGAGCGAAACGCTAGTAAATAGTCAATCCTACATTCGTAGGTTCTTTTAGCGACCAGAAAAATATGGAGATTTATTACTTGACTGATAATCTGTGGAAATGCTTCTTGACGAAGTGGAATTTATCCATTATGGTCAAAGGTTTTATTCATTTAGTATGTCTTACCTGTGAAGAAGCAGAATTGTTCTGATGATCGTTGGAAGGCAAAACATATGCATTATAGTTTTCATCATCGTTCATTTGACTGCTACTGTTTTGTGGAGCATTGTCATGAATGAATTGAATGAGCATTTCGTCTATAGTGTGTAGTAGATTCACTTTTACATGTAATACCCTGGAAAAAGAAACTAATTTGGGAAACTAATTTGGAAAACCAAACGAAAAATTAGGAATTATTGGGATTTTATATATATATATATATATATATATATATATACAGGGTGTAAAGTTAGTAGTGGATCAACGGAAGTCAGGTGATAGAGGGCCTCAAAACATATCGAATGTCCCCCAAGAGTGTGGTCCGAAATTTTATAATTCAGAAGATATTTGCAATTTTGTGAAATTTCGAATTTTTTTGAGATGAGCTAAATGGTTAGTTTTAGCAATGGATATGTCACTTTGTAATGGAGCTAATTAGAAATCAACGCAAAAAATCTTAAATTCATTTTTTTGTGATAAACCTCTTCCATCCCTCAACTTTGGAGGGCGATAAAAAAAATGAGGTTAAATTTCATTATTAATTTTATTGTAAAAGCTATTTCAATCCATGTAGAATAAACCCTGACAATTTCATCTTGCTACGATAAGTGCCTCTCCTTAAAAAATTTGTATGTTTGACGCAGGTCGGTATCTATACATGTAAACAAGAAATTCTATTTTACAAGCTACAGTCCAAACGACTTGATGGATTTTGACATATGACGTACTGTTAGATTCATCCTAGCAGTGCGATACTATGTGTGTTAACATTTTGTAAAATCAAAATAACGGATTTTTTACGCAAATAGCTAAATCAGCTTAATGAGCTTGGGCATTCAACTCGGCATAATCATGTCATATTCTCCGCAAGATTATGCCGAAATGCATTGCTATTTGGTGCTGCCCTAGGAAATGCTCAAGCAGTTGCTCGCATGTATCGGGTGTATGTGATTAGAAGAGGTGGACCACAACCGGCGGTATATCCCGACTACGCGTTTTTCTACGCGTCCATAATGCGTATATGGAGTGCCGCATATTAGGCACTCATAGTCAGCTAGGAGCGCCGAGGATACGCCCAGAAGAAATAGATGACATAATAGAAGCAACCGAAAGAGATCCCCCTATTAAGCACCAGAGCCATTGCTCGAAGCATATCCTATACTTCAGTGCACACAATACGACGCTCGGAGAACATGCATCCTTACCATGTACAAAAAGTACAAGAATCGCTTCCAAGCGACGGGTTGAATTTTATTGAGAAGGTGCGAAGAGGATGAAACTTTTTTGGACAGCATCTAATGGACAGATGAATCCAACTTTAACAGAAATTGAATATTAAACATGCACAATGTCCATTCATGGAGCGTGGAAAGTCCACATGCTATTCGCCGACACAGCTTTCAACGTCAGTTCGGAGTTAATTTATGGGCTGGAGTACTCAACAAAAAAATGGTTGGACCATATGAATTGCCCGCCACAAAGCAGTTTGCATGAGCTGCTAGAGGATGTACCTTTGGACGTTCGAAGCCGCATGTATTTTCAATGCGATGGTGCCCCATGCCACTTTTCACGGAATGTACGGCATTACTTAGACATTGCCTTTCCTGGGCGTTGGACAGGTAAAGGTGGACACATACGATTTCCTCAAAGGTCACCCGATTTAAATCTTCTAGTTTTTTTTATATAGGGGTTTTATAAGGGGATATCTATACATCTGAATATACAAATGTCAACCAACTGCGTCAGAAAATCAAAAATAAAAATTATGGAAAACGCAAATTCATTTCAAAGACTGAAGGACAATTTTATTAGAACTTGTGTATAGATTGTATAATGGAGGCCAGTTCGAACATGTTCTTTAGAAGTCAGTTAAATTGAATTATATTCCACATTTGTCGGTAAATAATAATAATAATAATAATTTTTATTGGAATGTTTATACATAAAAATATAAAAACGACAACATTCCAAAAGGAAAGAGGATTGGAAGGGCCATTTTTTACCTCCCCCTAAAAAGTTAACTTCATGAGCGTTTTTTAACATCAACAGAATGATTAGTATTCACAACAAATATTATGCACAACACAGTATATAATACGATATAGTCTGAGTGTTAATGGAGGGTAGTGTAGCAAGCGCCATAAATTTAATTTGTGGATTCAAATCTTTGCAGCTGTAGTAGCACTTTTTCCATCTCATCAAATCGCCATAAAGAGCGGCTAAACACAATAGGTTCTATACTTGTAGGTATTAAGAATTCTATTACATTTTTTATGTTTATCGCATCACAGCGACGAATGTGACATGATACACTCATCGTAGCAAGTCGAAATTTTAAGGGTTTATTCTACATGGATTGAAATAGTTTTTACAATAAAATGAATAATAATGACATAACCATTGCTAAGAGTAGCCATTTAGCTCATCTAAGAAAAAAATCACAGCCCTAAACCTAATGGTTTAGTTGTAATTGCGATTGCAAGTTCATCCCGTTTTTTTTTCGAAATTTCACAAAATTGCAAATATCTCCTGAACTATAAAATTTCGGCCCACACATATAGGGGCTCATTCGATAGGTTTTGAGGTCCTCTATTACCTGACTTCCGTTGATCCACTACTAACTTTACACCCTGTATATACAGGGTGTCTGCGAAAGGTTGGGAAACTGGAGATACTACGTACAGACCAAAATATGTGAATTGACCTAGTATAAAAGTTGATGGTTTGCGACATACATGGTGTCAAAGTTACAATATTATTTTCTATTTTTCCTTGTTGCTTGAGAAGCATTCGAGATTTTGGCATAAAACTCGGTATAGGAAGGTTTTCTAGTATGAGAAACAAGAATCCGTTATTTTCTATGGCCCAACTTCTAGAGAGGCGCCACTATTTCGGTAAATAAATTATCATCTTTTTTGTGCTACCCTGTATACAACAACTGACCAAAAAATCTTATTTTCTCGTATTTCCACAACAAAAAAGGTTTACTTGTTAGAAGTGACTAAAGTTAATAGTTTTCGAGATATTTGCTTGTAAAAGTTCCAATGCATTATTTGTACCATGATGCTAAAACATTTTTATAATATAATAAACAAGTTGCTTACTAGATAATATCTGAGTAGTGTTGCTATGGTTTGTCATAATATTGCTTTAAACTTCATGAATAATTTTAAGTTGACAATAAGTTCTTAAACATCATGTATAAGTTTGATGAATATGCTGATATGCATTTAATGTACGGATTGGCAAGATACAATGCTTTAAAAGCACGAAGATTGTATGCTGACAGATTCCCTAATAGACACCTGCCTAATTCAAAGACTTTCCAACGAATCGATCAGCGGTTACGAGAAACTGGTAAGAAATGATTATAGCCTTATTTTGAGTAGTAAAAGCCATTTTATTTTAGGTAGTGTTGCTCAAAATATGAGCTAACATAGAGGAGCTCCAAGAACTGTACGTACAGCTGAAGTTGAAGAAAATGTTCTGGATGCTGTCTTTGATAATCCTACAGTTGGTGTTAGGATTGTAGGTCTAGAATTTCAAGTTTTAAAATGTACAACAGTAAATACAATTTTTCAAGAGCAACTGCTCCATCCATACCACATGCAAAAAGTACATGGTTTAAGCGTGGATGACGAACTCGTAACGGTAGAATTTTGTACATAGCTCTTAAGGGAGTTTAACCACGACAATGGTTTTACTTCGTTAATATTATTTTCGGGCGAAGCAGGATTTGGAAGGGATCGGCCCATTAACTCGCATAATCTTCACATTTATGCAGACGAAAATCCTCATGCAATAATACAAACCCGCCACCAAGTACAATTTCAAATTAATTTATGGGCAGGAATAATTGGACAATATTTAATAGGACCCGTTGAAATACAACCTAGACTAAAAGGCCAAAGGTATTTACAATTTCTTGAAGAACAATTACCAACTCTGCTGGAAGATCTTCCATTACAAACAAGTGGATAGGCCGATCAGGACCTGGATCGTGACCAAATTTAAATCCTATGGATTTCTTCTTCTATGGTGATTTAAAACGACGCGCTTACAATACGCCAGTCGAAAGTGTAGATGATCTTCGACCAAGAATTTTACACCATATCCAGAAAATGAAAAATAACTTCCAAATGCTTTGGAGACTGCAGCAAGGATTAGTTCGTTGAGCTCGAGAGTATGTTAAGCAAGGTGGTGCTCATTTTGAACAATCCTTGTAGTTATTATTTCCGTTTATTAGTTTTGTTGCCATCCTCATTTGTTATTGTTAAAAACCATAGCAACGCTACTCAGATATTATCCAAAGCAACTTGATTATTATGATATAAAAATGTTTCATAAGATTTTTCGGTCAGTTGTTGTATACAGGGTAGCACAAAAAAGTTATGATGAGTTATTTACCAAAAGTAAGTGACGCCCTCTAGAAGTTTGGTCATAAAAGATAAAGGATTCTTGTTTCTCATACTAGAAGACCTCACTATACTGAAAAGTTAAAATACTTCTCAAGCAATAAGGAAAAATAGAAAATAAAATTGTAACTTTGACATCCTGTATCTCGCAAACTATCAACTTTTGGACAAAGGTATGCTTAGGTCAATTCACATATTTCGAGATTTCTCAGCCTTTTGCAGACACCCTGTACACTTCCAGAATTAGAATTGTAGGATTGCCATACATTCGGAACTTAAATCCAAAACCGGCCAGACTATGTAGCTCTTTAAATTGTCGTGTTTCCTGTAATAACAAGTATAACAATTTCCATAGATAAAATCAACAAGTTGTTTAAAAAATGTTTGTCAGGTGGTGACTTAGTTTTACATAAAGAATATAGCCAATAAAATTTTCACAATAAACTTCTCTATTACGTTTCGGACTTAAACCAACGCTCCTCTTAATGTATCGCACACGTTCTGTATTAGGTTAGTACAAGATGTGAATTTGAGAAGTTTTAGAATTTATTTAATCAATAACATTTGCCCCAATCCAATGTATTTTATCATTAAAACATAGCCTTGTTTTGTATCGTTTTCTAAAAAGGATCCATGTAAATCCAGTTTTTGATCACCTTGCCATGTACTCTTGTTTATATTTTACATCAAACACCAGCAACAATTTCATTGACGGAGTAAG